CCCTTACTGAGCAACAATCTAAAGCATTAGAGTCATGTGGGAAGCTTCCAGAAGAAAAATGATGTAAGTTCTGCTCCAGAGAGGTTTCCCCACATAATAAACAAATATCATAGAAAATGCAACTATTTATATTCCCCCACCTAGCAAAGAGGTGATCGCTAAGCACCTTCGTGGTCTACTCAAACTTACAAAATGGCTAGTAAATAAACTGGAAAATTCTGAGTCTTTTCTTTGAAAAGACTACGTAACTTTAGGATTTCATAAAATTTTCCCTATGATGAAGGGTAATCAATGCTGATTACTGCACATAACTTTACAAGCAATTTTTTAAAGCCAGCTTTGAATTTAGGATTTTATTAATTCCTCTGAATTAATATCCCAGGACTCAGTGGAATGTTGGTAGGGAGGAAGTCTGGAGTAGAATAATTTATTTAAGGTTTTCCCATTGTTTTCAAATGATTGATTTACACAGAGCTTGAGCAGGTTAGCTCAGTTGGACACTTCCAATGAGTACCTTCACCTGCAGATTAGTGCATTGCACAAGTCCGATCCAGACAGAGCTGTCTAGCAAGAGAAAGGGTCCAGTTATTCTCAGAGACTAAGAGAAGGTTATCAACAGGGCCAGTGGACTGATAGGGACAGAGATCAAGAGAGGGATACTAAGACGGTAGCCAGCAAAATACTTCATTAAATTTCCAAGTCCTCAAGCCATCTAGTTTTGCTCCCTCAGAAACTACTGAATCAGGCTCTAACCTCAAGGTAAAAAGCCCAGCTATTCATTTTGCAATCGGCTCATGTCATTTACTCTTAAGAGAGAGGTGCTGGGGTTGATCTGATCTGCTACTCTGCAGATTTTTTTAAAAAGAAATTCTTTAGTAGCATGCCACAGGTGTAATGAGAAAAATATCCTGAGAAGTAGGAAGAAGAGTCTATATTTCAATGTCAAAAGCATGAAAGGAGTGGAATAAAATAAAATCAGGGATAGGCAGCACTCGAGGAAGCTGCAGACAAAGAGAAAATGGTGGAGATGGGGTTAGAGAAAGATCTCCTTTTACCCTCTCCAGTCAAGCTCATGAAACCATTTTTCTGTTTGTTTTTCAGTTTTCAGAATTATGATTTCAGCTTCGGTGGTAAAAGAAGCCCCTTTCTTTGCCACAACCAGCCTGCATTCTGATCCCTGCTTGAACATAGTTCCAAATGAAACCGGTGGTGTTGATATAACCATTGTTAATAACAATAACAGTATTAATAATAAAACTGTCTACATTCAACTCACATGATCCCACCAAGGTTGGTTACTATACATGTACGTACGAGTCAGGAGACCAAGGAATTCTTAGTTTTAAAAGCATATATATATATATATATATATATATATATATATATACATACATATATATATACACACACATAATATGAGAAAGTTATTATTAATATTAATGAAGAAAATTAAATATGCCAGCAAATTCAATATATTATTTTACAGTTTGCAGCTCAACAAGTGAAAGTTTGATAAGGTAAAACCAGTGCTGGCAAGAAAGCACCCCAAAGTAATCCTGCAATTGGAAGGTTAAAAGCTTCTCTGAAAACATCCCCCACCAATATGTTAACCTTTGGCTGTGCTGAGAGAGGTAGTCTGTGAACAAGCAAGAGGGTCCTTCTTTGGCTACCTCCTGTATATGTTTACAAATAGGTTGCACTCAGTGTGGCTATTTGGGTCTCATGTTCTGATTACTTGGAGCCAGACATCAGAAACTGAGGCCCAAATAGCAAAATTTTGCTTTTCAAAACAGACAAATTAATCTTTATAAGACAGACATAAAAAGCTGCTTGACAATTGGGGAGGGGAGCAAAAATAAAAGGAGAAATTAATAAAATTCCATATTTTGAAAAAAGGTAATAGCTAAAGGCAGGACTCTCCAATCTCAAAGCACCACTAAAAATATTACCTATTATGGAGACTGGAGTACACAACCAAGAGAAAAATTAAAATGTTCTTTTTGCATTCTGGATAATTTCTCTAAATCCCAACTCTACATGGTCTCCTTTCGGCCCCAACTCCCAAGAAAAAAATGTTTGCCATATTATTGTGCTTCTTGCTGAGATATGAAGGGGCCTACATCTGTCAAGTGGACCAGTGGTCAGCTAAAAAAGTTGTATAGTCTTATTTGATCTCTGAGAGAAGACAGATCCATAAAATATCATCCGGGTCGCAAATAAGCTTCATCACTTTTTATTATTCCTTCTGTTCACAAACCACATTCTAAATTAAGTAAAAATAGGACCACTGCTGTCTTCTGACCTTCTTTGAGCAGAAACATTGTTGATATATAAGAACATAGAGTTACTGCTGCAGTAACTAAAGTTTTAAAAAACCCTCAACTTAACCAACTAATGTACATGACCCCCCCCCCCACACACACACAAACACACACACACTTGGAAAAGAAGGAACCTAACAGGTTATTGGAAGCATTCTAGAATTTTGAGATTTTTAAACTCAAATTTAGCACATAATACACACAATACAGAGGGAAAAAAAAACTGACTTTGGTTTTTAAAGTCCCTTTGCATTTCACCAAACTGTGCTCTTAAAAAGTGAGGGAAAGAAAGAGAAAGTAAGAAAACATTTCAACTTTTAAAGAGAAATTCTGATTAAATTGTTTAATTTCCAAAAAAGTAACTTAAGGATTTTCTATATTCTAGAAATGAAAATTATTTGTCAACCCACACGACAGGAACATCAGTTTTCCCTTTTACTGAACTCCTTATAGCCAGTGCAGCAATTGAATTCAGGAAAGATTAAATAATTTAAAAAATTTCTTCAGGTTCTGCTAAATTCTTATAATTGTGCTCATTAATTTGAACAGTGTCAAGGAGGCATTATGGTATGATGATCTTCCTAATAGAGAAGTTTTTCCATTAAGATTTGTGATAAAATCACCAAGCTTACCGTACACCTGATGGGAAGAACTCCCTGCTCTGCAGCCGCTCACTGAAAATTTAGGTTCTATTTTCAAAGACACTTATCCCTAAACAAATATGTAGAATTATTAGTTTCCTCCCTGTTGAGTGAATATCAACATACCTCTCTCCCAACAGGGGAGAATTATACAGAATATGGAAGGTTTCAGTGACTCCATTTAGCATCACAGTAGGTCAAGAAGCAGCTTAGACAATTTCCCCTTGGAAAAAAAAATTACAGTAGAAAAGGAACTCTGTTCTCTAATGACAACCCCCCCAAAATTAACCCTACCAAGTAAATCTGTTCTCATAAAATGAATAAGACCTTTTATCCCACAGCATAACCCATTGCAAAAATAAACACCGTAAATTATCTAGAAAATACTTTGACGATACCAAAAGAACGCTTTGAAAATCCAGTAAGCCAAACCTTAAAAACCCAATAAGATGTAAAGCCTGATAAGAAGCTGTTTTTTCAACAATACAGAAAATAATATTTTATGAACTCCTATCCTCCTTTTCTCTTTGACGCTGTGCTATCAACCTTCCAAGAATAGAATCATCAATGAAAGGAGGCAAATTGTTAGATTTAAGACATCAAACAAATATGCTAAGTCTAACCAAAAAAATCTGGAGAAGTCATAGATAAAATAAAATTGCTACAGAAACATAAAGTAAGACAGAAGTCCAAGGGACTTCAGCACCTGAGAAATCCGAAGAATTAATTCCCCAATCAATACTTCCTCTCTCACCAGATAAACGAATATTTTAACTTGGTAGTGGGGGGGGGGGGGGAAGATCTTCAACATGGTCTCCAAGAAGCTCAAAAACTTCAGTGAAGAAAATACTTTAATAAACAAGATGAAATTGCTGGCCACATTTCTCATGTCCTAATTAAAACTCAGGCAAAATTATAGATCATAGGTTACTTAACAATTCTTACTCCATTTATTAGCAGTAAAACTCATGTTTTAAAATGCAAGCACGTTCTTGAAATGAAGTATTATAATAAAGAGCCTTACTCCTACCTCCCCAATACAGATTTTTTAGCACACTGGAATAGCAGGAAATGCTTTACAAAATTTTTTCCCAACACTTTTACAAGTCAGACTCAAATCTAGTAACATTGTTCATTAGAAGAACATTCATCTCTTTATACATCTGAAGCAAACCTGCAGAAGAGGGCTGTGGATCTGTTATAATCCACAGGGAAAATAAACACTTTACAAGAGACAACCGACCCAAGAAGTAACTACTTCTAACATAAGTCAACCAATGCTGAGGAACCTGTGAGGGTAAATCTTGTCCAGTCTTTACCAAGAAAGTTGCCCTTTTACCCGCTCCAAACGTTCCTGGTTGGATTCTCTCTGCTGACCTCCCAACCCTGGAACACATCCCCAGTTGCTTCCAAGGAAGGGAACCTCACTGTTTCACATAGAGGCCTCAGCACCCAGAGGCTTTTTGCTTCCCTAACCCGGAATTCCGTTTTATTCTTTTGGAGGAGGCGGGCTAGGAAACACTTGGTCCAGCACTTTTACCTCTATTTTGTCAAGACCGGCCATGCACAGACTGGAAGGTGAACACTAGCAGACCCCAAGAGGAAAAAACTGCAGTCATTCTGAAGGAGGTTACAGGACTTTGAGAAAAGGAGGTAAAAGGGAGTGGCGGGCTTAAGGGCTTTATCTGTGAAAGAGTCCAGTGTAATGGAATTTTAATTTAAAGCCTGTGGAACCTGGAGTACCAGATGGTAATGAGGATTTTAGATGGTCAGGGAAGTTGTCGAGGAATATGAAAGGGCTTGAACCAGCACCCAGTGCGCACAGCAGGTATTCAGATGCTCAGGTCCAAACTTTGGCGGGCCCAGAGTCCCTGGGAGGGCTCCAGATTTAGTGCAGCCCTTCCTAAGGAACCAGTCTGAGTTCTGCCAAGGTTAGTAGAAATGCTCGCGTGGGAAGGAGTGGCTAGCTATCTTAGAATGCATAGCGAATCTGTGCCCTGAGCTGAGAAAGTTGACGTTTTGGGGAGGAGAAACTTACCGCATGTCTCCGTAAGGTCCGGAGTAACTCTCCATCCAGGGTCCCATCTCGCTTTTGACACAACTGGGACTGGGATAGGGCACTCTGCTCACCACGCCGCCAGGGTACCACACATCGGGTGCAGGAAAGTCGCTCTCCTGTCCTGCCAGCCCCTGAGGTGGTCGAGCGTAGCCATAGGGGGCTACAGCCCCTGCCTCTCCTGCACTGCCGCCGCTGCCTGCGCCGCATGGTCCATACAACTGGCCTTCTTCTGCTGAGAAGAGAGTGTGCCAGGAAGAGGAGGCGGCTGCCGAGGGCGATCCGGAGCTGGGTCCCGCGGCACCTCCGCCATGCAAGCTTCCCAGGTCCCCATAGCGGCACTGCGCCGCGGCTGCTGCCCAGGCACTGCTATAGTCTAGCGGGTTCTCCAGCTTGATGCGGGCGTGCGGATGGGGAGGTGGTGGAGGGGGAGGCGGCCCAGCCAGGGCCAGCGGAAAGTTGTAGTAGTCTCGACTCTGGTACGCTGCCGCTTCGTCCAATGCTCCAGACTTGTAGAGAGACAGAGTGGACGGCAGCTCAAGTGTCCCTGAGCTCCCTGCTTCGCTGCTGCCAGAGCAGCCCAGGCCCTCGCCGTCCAGCCCTTTGGCGTAAGGTCCCTTGAAAGAGGAATACTCAGCAATCTCTTCAGTGCCCTTTCCTGGGCCGTCGTCCAGCAAAGAACCTTTGCATTCGGCCAGCGGGGCACAGGGAGTGCTACGCACAGCGGGCGGACCTCCCAGGAGCGGCGCGTACATGCAATCTCCCCGAAGCTGTTCTCCAGGACTCAGATGCTCCAATGCCTCCACACCCAAGCCCATGGACACTGACACCGCCTTACACAATTCCTTTGCGCTGTCAGATATGGTCGAGTTGCCCCCTAGGTAACTGTCCTTAGAGGAGGCGGGAGCCCCAGCGGCCTCCCTAGCTCTTCCGCTGCTACCATCGGATACCACCTCCTGCTGCTGCTGTTGCTGTTGCTGAAGGAGTTGCATGGTGCCGGCCTCGCTTAGGATGTCTTTAAGGTCGGCGGAGCAGCTGCTTAAGCCCGGGAAAGTGGGCCCCAGCAGGGACAGCGTGGATGGGGCAGCTGAGTCATCCTCGTCTGGAGGTGCTGGCGGCGGCTGCGGCAGCCCCTTGCCGGCGGCGGTAGCAGCTCCTGGCTCTGCGAGACAGCCGCTCTCGGGGTGGCCCTCGGGGGCTGACTGCTGTTGTGAAGGCTGCTGTTCCTCGTCCAGGGCCAGGTAGCCTGTGGGGCCTCTGATGTGGGCTTGGGGAGAGCCATTCTCACCCTGTTGCTGCTGCCGGGGGCTGCTCTCCTGCTGCTGCTGCAAACGGGCGCCGGGAGGTGCTGTGCTGGAGGCCTCAGGGTGCCGGGGGCCCGGGTTCTGGATCACTTCGCGCACGCTCTGGAACAGATTCTGGAAAGCTCCTCTATAGGTCTTGGACGGAGGTCGGGGGTAGACCCTCCCGAGTCCTAACTGCACCTCCATCCTTAAACTAAGCTGAATCTTCCACTTAATTCCCTTACCCTGTCTCCCTTTTTCTTACTCAGAAGAGTTCAACAGGCTGAGATGATGCGGTAGTCGCTGCAGTTAGGTGTCCACCTGCGGGAAGCTCCAGGGAAGAAAACTTGCAGGAGCAAAAAAAAAAAAAAAAAAAAAAAAAAAAAAACCAAACCAAACCAAAACACACAAACAACAACAACAATAAAAAAAAAAGCGTTCTGACAGCCTCAAAGTCCTGTGTTGAGGAAAACACGCGCTGGACACAATCTGCCCTGCTAGGCTTACAGTCTGTTTCTAAATACTTGAATGGCAGATTCAAAAGATGCTCAAATCTTGGGGGGAGGGAGGTCCTCTGCTTTCCAAATTCAACGTCCAGTGAAGCAGGTGCAAATAAAAATTGGGTTATTTTCTTTTTGTTTTGTTTTGGCTTTGTTTGGTTTTGTTTGGTTTTGTTTTCAACTACTGAAGCCCTGCCATTTCATCTTTTGATCTCTGGCTCTGCACTCACGGGGGCGGTGGGGGGGGCAGCAGGAGGAGGTAGAGGGGGATTGTGGGGAACCAAGGGGCCCTCCCTGCGTGCTAAGGAGTCAGGTTCTGGCTGTAGTGCTGAAGCGCTCCCCAGTCGCCCAGATCCCAAAAGCCTTCTTTGCAACGTGCAGCTAGCTCCCTTGCTCGCAGCCAAAGGGAGTTACCTCTCTGCAAACTGGCTGGCAGAGCTGGGCCGACGGGGTTGAAGGGGAGAGGGTTTGTGGGAGGGGGGGGCAGACCGAGAGTAGCTGGCGGAGGCAGCTGCGGGAGAGGAGACCAAAGGCAGCCGTCAGTCCTACCCGGTACTTTCCTCGTTTCCTCCAAGTCTCTAGCAGCTTTTAGAAACTTCGCCGAAGAGGAAAGAGCAGCTCCGGGGCGGCGGCTTCGAAGCCGCTGAGCTGCAACAGGCGTTGGCTGTCGCTGGAGCCGGGCTGGGGTGGCGCGGTGAGTCCCTTCTGCTCCTGTATGGTACTGGAGCGGCTAGCTAGATCTTTTTCCCTCCGTCGCCTCCTCTGCCTCCAGGTTTGCTCCGGACCCTCCGTGTCTCCCAGCAGGCTGGCTCCCCGGGATCTCGGAGGGGGCGCTGGGAGGTGGAGAGCAAATGCAACAGTTTGCGAGTCGGTCCCGCCCCCGCCAGGCCGGCCTCCTAGCCTTCCCACCTCCTTTCTCTCTCCCCTCCCCTCTCCTTTTCTCCCCTCCCCTCACCGCAAGCTAGCGCCCAGTGGCTCTGGAGAAACAAGTGCTGGCACAGCGTGGGTGAGGGCAGGAGAGGCTCGCTCAAGCCCGGGAGGACCCCTGCTCCTGGAATACCTCTTACTTTCCTATACCGTGGTTCAGGAGCCAGGCCAAAAGCTTTAACCTGGTGCTTTATTTTGAGGACAGGGCTGCAGGATCTCCTGAAGGCCAGCACTCAACACACTTGAATCCAAAGCCCAGTACCAAATCAGAGGCTTGGGGTGGTGAGGGGAAGGGGCGACAGGAGCACGTTGAAAATATTGTCTCCTACAAATTAAGGAGCAAACTACAGCCTAGCCAGCTGGTACTTGCTGAAACCTTTGCGATTGCCAACATGCAGCTAGACTGGGCCTCATGGCAGGGTGCCATTTGCTCTGGGAACCCTAGGCCCTAGGAACCAGAGGTCATTCCTGCTGTATTCTCTGACCTCTTCCTGTCTGGAATTGCCTCTAACCAGCAGTTCATACCTATCCAAAGTTGCATAGTACAAAAACACTCAAACAGGCAAACACGCAAAACACAGCAACTGCTTGCCATTCACATGTGGACCCTTGATTTTGTCCAGAGCTTTGCAAATGTTTGTTTGTATTCTTGGAGTTTCCAAGATGTCTTTGCATATTTTAAACTTTTGAACTGTACTATCCAAGGAATAGACCCTATGTAGGGCTGCTTTTCTTCCTCTTGATTGGCAGCTAAGGGTGGAGAGTGATGTGGGACTGCAACTCTTCTTCCAGAGGAGTTTCACAGCCCCTGTGTAAAGATGGAGCGGAGGTGGGAATGTAACAATAGAGGAAATGAAAGGGAAGACCTATCAGCAATGTTTTCTCATAGGAAGGCCTTTGGCCTCCCTAGCTTTTATATTCCTTAGACCACTGTGTCCCAGAAGGCTTACATAGATTTTCCCTAAGACTTGAATATTACAGACTTCTAAAGAGAAAAGAGTGATTGCTGCTTTATCTTGCTCATAGGGAAGTATTATGGGCATTACTTACTTGACCAAAAGAGGTAAATGAAATCTAACGGCAAAAATGAGTGGACATGATCAGCTCTATCTCACACATGAACAAGTAGAAGCAAGGACACAATTTGTTCTGTGTTCCATAATAGTAGAACCTGAGCCAGTCTTCTTCATTATTTTAGCTAGACCTGTCAATCTCCTGGGCACTTGGTAAATAGCTATAAATGAACATTCCAGAATACTAAGGCCTGAGAACCCTTTCACCTGAGGAGATGAAAAATTGTCAGCTTAGACATTAATAGCTACAGACCTCCCTGGACATATGCCAATAATACCCCCCCCCCTTTTTGATGAAGACTCACAAATCCCTCCTTGTGGTAAAGAAGCAGTCTTACAAGCCATATGATGCCAAATTGTAACATGCCTAAATTCCATTCCTTATTGTAATGGGAAATAGGAATATATAACTCAAATGCACAGACACTTTGTAACTTTATTTGAATGGTCATCACAACCTCAGGCCCACCAAACTTTTAAACTAGAGTTGCTCAAAGGGAATTTAGTCAGCTGGAAGTATGGTAGGATGACTTGAACATAGATCTCAGAACCAGAAAAACTACTTTTCTGAGGACTGACAATAAAGTGAGGTGTTCATGGCAGTGAATGAGCAATGCAAGATGGAAGAAGGAAGTTAGAAGAAAAGAGGCATGAACAAATTAAGAAGAGGAATATCTCTACTAAGTTACCTTTTGAATAAATGGCAGCCAAATCTACATCAGAAGAAGTCTAAAGTTTGTGTTGTCTCTATAGCACAAAAATTGTCTTCACTTTCCTCATCAGAAAATTGTAGCCAATATTACTTACCTTCAGAAGGCTGATATAGCAATTTAAAGGTATCATATGCACAGAACAAATTTATAAATAGGAAAGCATTCTAAAAAATCTGATGGATCACATTTTTTAAAGTAGAGCAAACTATTCACAAGTTTTATAAGGAAAGTTAACTACTTTGAGCATATTAGGGACATATGCATACTTTATTTGAAAGTTTTGAACTCTGATCCATCATCTTCAATCTTATTTTCCTCCCATTGTTTTAAGAAGATAAACAGGCATGTATTTAGAATATTACAAAAATTCAGTATTTATATCAGCTTTCTTCTTTCTCCTCCCCCTTCATTTGCAATTTTTAAACTGTAATAGATTTAGAGGTGTGCTTTCAGGTTGGTCTAGTTGAGAGTAAGTTCTGCTATGGGTGTCTTTGCAACTTCAAGTGGGCTTTGTTAATGGAATTTACCTTAGTTCCTTGCTCTTTAAAATTAGAATCACCTGACCTCTGGAAAATGGTGAACATTTACTTCCTAAATATCTCTCAAATATACCAAACTCTTTTTATCTCTATTGCTGCCAAACTAGTTTGAGACACTATTTATTCCTACCTGGCCCACTGCAAATTGTCTCTTTCCTTTCACTCTTATTTTACCACAATTGGTTCTACTCAGAGATTTTTGAAAAATAGGTTCATCAAGGCATATTTGACATGTAATAAACTACATATATTAAAGCCATACAAATGGTTAATTTTTAAAATTATTAATTATCTATGTATAGACTCACAAAATCATCACCTAATCAAGACAGTGAAAATGTAAATCACTTGAAAAGTTTTTTCTATAACTCCTCTCCACCTGTCCTATACTCCACCCTCTCAGGCAACTAATGATATGCTTTCTGTCAATATGGATTACTTTTGATTTTCCAGAATTTTATAGCAATGGAATCACAATACATACTTTTTGTCTTTTATCTTGCACTGAGCATAATGTCTTTGGTATCCATCTAAGCTATTGTATATACTACTACTTAGTTCTTTCTTCTTTATTGCTAAGCAGTATTCCATTGTGTTGCTACATAACAGTTTTGATTATCCATTTGCTTACTGATAGACATTTGAGTTCTTTCTAGTTTCAGGCTGTTACAAATAAAGTTGTTGTGGATATTTATACAAAATCCTTCATATGGATTAATGCTTTCATTTCCCTTTGGTAATAAAATACTTATTTATGGAATGGGTGTGTCACAGTTCTAAGAAACTGACAAACTGTTCTGAAGTTGTTATACCATTTTAAATTTTCATTTAAATTCTCTATGAGAATTCCTGTTCTACACATCTTCACCATCACTTGGTATGATCAGTCTTTTTAATTTTTGCATTCTAATCTAGACGGATAAAGATTTTTCATTTAATTTGCATTTACCCAAAGAATAATGATATACAGCATTTTCCATGTGTTTATTTTCCATTTGTATATTTTAAAATGAAGTCTCAAAATTTTTGTCTATTTTTAAAAATTAGTTTTTATTTTATTATGAATTTTTTTTTTGGTTATTTATGTGCTCACCAAAGAAATACATCAAAATTTTGATTTAACATTGTTTTCTATCTGTAGTTTCATTGGTTTACCAGTGTCTCTTAAGGAGCAGACAATTTTAATTCTGATGAAGTCCTATGTATTAATTTGTTCCCTTATATATTGTGCTTTTGGTATCAGACTTAAGAAATAGTTTTCTAATCCAAGATCACATCACAAAGATTCTTATCTGTGTTTTCTTCTAGAAATTGTATAATTTTCAATTGTAAAATTAGGTGTATGATACATTTTGAGTTATTTTTTGTATGTAGATATTGGATTTTCTATATATAATGTCCTGCATTAGGCACTATTCATTGAAAAGGCTATTGTTTACCCACATAAATTACCTTTGGACCTTTTCAGTTATCAATTATCAATAGATGTTTGTACATAGGGGTCTTTTAGAAGATCTAATCTAGTTCTGCCATTTCCCTTCTTAAATTCTGTCATGGGCCTTCCCTTGCTTATAGTATAAAAGTTCAAAATTTTAACCACACACTACATAATCTGGCCTCTCTAAGCCTTCTGACCTCATCTCATCACTTTTCCTCTTGCTTTCTAAGCTTAGCTTATACGGGCCTTTATTTGTTCCTTAAATGCCCCATAGTCTTTCCTGCCTTTTCATATACTATTCCTTCAATCTGAAATGCTGGTTCATCCTTCTCCCTCATAATCTAATTTATGCCAAACATATTGAAGTTTCAGGAAGACTTCCTGGACCTCCTAAACTAATTCAAC